CCGGTACGACCAGAAGCCTCCAGGATAGGTCCGACAGCAGCGCATAGTGGTAGAGGTGCGGTCTCGCAGATCGTGGTGAAGTCGCCGAAGCCAGACATGATGGCGATTTGAGATCACGGCTCAATTGTCGTCGAATGGCTCTGAGTGGGATCGTATCGTGACAGAACGAGCGTACAGTGGGTGACAGGTCGATAATGTCGTCAGCAAGTGACTGATCGATTGTCGTCGAGAAGACGTATCGGTGTCGCTAACGTCGTCGAATCGTCCAACCCTCGTCGCGAGTTACAATCGTCGTCACCACTTGAAAGGGCGAGGCCTGGGGAATCGCCAAATACAAGGGGTTTAAATTTGATCGGAATGCAATCTCGTCCCTTGTTACGCTTCCAAGGGAGTAGACTATGTCGGTCAGTCGGTGTCAAATGTCTCGTTCTTGACCGATGGCTCAGCAGCGCCCCTTTCTTCAGCCCAGCGGCTAAAATCCAAACGAACGAGAGGATAGCAAGAAGGGCCCAGACCGGAATGAGAAACACAAAAACTAGCGATTGTCGTTCAGCGAAGGCGATGATTAATTCGAGGTACAAAAAAGCGAATGTCTTGCAAGCCTCTGCTGGACTCTAAGCTTTGGGGCTTGCGCTCAACGAAAGAGATGAGTGAAGGTCAGAAAGAGACAAAGTGGAGTTGAGCGGAGCGGAGAGATCTGGTTGCTGTGCCGATGTTGTGAGCAGGTGGAAGGCAAAGTGGCAGAGGTGGAGAGACAATGCTTGGTAAAGTGGCTGATAGAGTATGTGATTGGCTACTCTTAAATGGTTGCCGTGGAAAGTGCAAACAACCCTGTTTAATGGAGGTCGACCCCTGCAACAGCAAAGTCTTGTTACATGACGACGACCAAGTCCAACAATTTGAGACGAGAGAATGAGATGAGTTCAGTTTACGAGATGTGGCCCATCAATAATAACTTATATAGTTAGTATGGAGTAACATTTGACTTTTGAGATCCCAATGGTTTGTGGGAATTGCTTTACCCCTTCAAACAGCTAACAATACATCTAAAAATCTAGCTCACAAGCTTTTTACTAAACAAAAAGACTTGGAAAAGAGAATGCGTATGTTGAAAGAGGACGAATTTTCACAACTAAAGACTATAAGAAAAACTTCCGTAAAAGTTCTTGAAGAAAACGAAATGACAGACGAAGTAAGCTGTTATCAGTGCATTAACAATAATCTTATTCACTACCGATCGACATACCCTACAACTGAACCGTAAACTCAACAGCAAGCACCAAAGGCACCAAAAGCTAATGTGACATGATGCAGTTGTAATGATGTTCTTTATAAAGTTTATAAAGATTATGGTGCCACGTTGTTGGTCTACAAACTGACCATTACATTTACTAAATAAAAACTCCATCAACTTATAATCCTCATGAATAAACTTTCCACAACCTACACAGACCTAAGCAAAACAATAACACAAATTTAGACGCCCTAGGAGGTAATAGCAAGAAGTCTCCAACGGAGGCAGGGCATAGAAAATAAACTGATAGTGAGTTTCAAGTGACATAATTAGGTTGAGTCATTTTGTCTCACGATTAACATAGTTTGTGTTTTCTGACGCCGATAATACTCTGGCTTTACTCAATTGAGCAGAAAAGTTGACCTCCCAAGTCTTATAGAACAAAAATAAGCAGCCTAAGAAGCCTAGTCTAAGTAGCATAAGCTGACCTACTAATTTCGTCCCTTATACGTCTCGCGGCCAATTTTCTGATACCCTGAGGGCAGAACCTTGCTGTATTTTTGCTCTATTCTAGTAGTCATAACTGACATTTCGCTGCATCTGTCTATATACAGTCGGTGTCGATGCAGTCATTCATCGCTAACCCATCGTGTGTGGCTCCATAGCGTCCATCGTAGAAAGGAAGCCTAAGTAACTCCGAGCCATGCGCACCATAGTCCTGTCCGGGAGACTGTTGAACCCTGGCCTATTTCTTTCCGTTCCAAACGCCTGTACCATGCGTGCCTTGAGATGCATATCCGACGCTAAAAATGAAATAAGAAAAAATCCAACACCATAAAAACAATTCCGAGAAAACATGCGGATAAAAACCTTGGATGTGTTCCTAGAGATAAGGCTCACGTCGAACGCGAGGGTAAGAACCATAGTTGACCGAAGGATAACCCCGCCATTCCTAAGACGGGTAATGTCCCTGAAGGGCCTGATGTTGAGGGTGAACGCGGTTGTAAACGACAAAGTCAGGCACGATACCAGTTCGGAGATCGTTCCGTCGCCCGATGGGCTGATAGTGCATCTGGGTTGGAGGAACAGGTACAGAAAGATGGTATTGCTCCAACGATGCTGAGGGTGGAGGGTGCAAGAGCGTGTTCACGTGGCGTACAGGCTTGTACGGGCTGGGTCTCTGCTGTAGATAGACGCTCGGCGAGTTGGAGATCGGAGTATGCGTCATAGGAGTATGAATAACCGATGACTGGCCGTACGCCTCTGCCAAGGGTGACGAGTTGAATGGCCCCAAACGGCCAGGGCTGAGCTGTTTGCTGGGGGTACTGTAATTTGCAGGCGCCTGAGCAGGGAAACTGGTTTGCGCCATCGTGACACCCGTCGTCGCGGGAAGCGATTGCTTCGGCACCATGGCCGCTGGGACTGAAGAGTAGACTGTCGACATAGCGCGCATACCAGTTTGCAGCGGAGGAAGCGAGACGTGACTAGGCTGAGTTACCTGCTGCACAGGTGGAGGATACCCATTGACCGCAATGTTGTCGAAGGGCATTAACGTAGGTTGGGTCTGAGGTTGTCCAGTCAGGACAGTGGGGTGAGGAGCAGGCAGCCTGGCCGGCTCAACAATGCCGTTTGATCGCGGGACTTGGGCCATAACGGGAGCCGGACCTCGTTGAGGAGGAGCAAGTCGTTTGGCGGGGTGTTCCATGATATCTCCCTCGGGACTTCGCTTCCGTGACACAGGAGGGAACTGAAGATTGGGCTTGGTAGAGAGTGGAGAAATTGTGTTAGTTTGGTACGCGGTCCAGTTTTGCGAGTGACTCGACGTAGGTGAGTAGTTCGCTGTGATAGCCGGAGTAGGGGGCAGGCTGACGGCGGGTTGCATAGCACCTGTTGGTGAAGCGACAGGCGAGTGGCTCGTGTTGTTTGCTGGCGTGGGAATGTGAACCGGCGACGCTGGCAATCGCACAGCTCGCTCGTAGTACTCGTGGAAGCAGGCCAGCTTGTCTAACCAGTCATCCCACTGCTCCTTCGTCGCCACCAAGTTGTATCGCATGTTAGACAGAAACTCCACTTCCATGACATGAATCTCCTGCACATTGAAGCATGACACCTCGGCCCAAGTCTTGTTCGTGTAGGTGTTATCATCCAAGACTGTAGTACGGTCAGTTGATTGTCTAGTGTGTGAATGCTTTTCACTTACATTTGTTCCCGAGCATCAGTGCTACTGTTAGCAATCTATACTCGCTGCCAGCACGACCCTTGATTTGAGGTGTCGACATCTTCAGTCGGTAGATAAATAGTAGAGCCAGCAAGATGACATTCTGGGTCACTTGTGTCGTGGAGAGAACGCTGTACACCCACTTCCGAAATTGCTCAAGGGGTTTGGCGAGTGGTGGTAAACGCTGAACGAGGGCGTTGGAGCCCACTGCACGAACCGATCCTGCCTGCTTCAGCTCGTCAATCGACTCAAACCAGAACAAGCAAGTCATCTAGAGAACATTAGTTGCCTGACAATTTCCATCTTCAGAGTATGTACGCACTTGAGCAGCGAAATCGGCAAGATTTCCGCCTGCAGGGCTTATGCACTTGGGAATTACAAGGCTGTGGTAGACTAGCGACTCGGTGTCATTTTTGGTCGCGGTAGATGTTGAAGGTGTTGAAGGTCGGACAGGCTGTCCGACGACCTGAACATGTGACGCTGTCGAGATCGATCCATTTCGGTGTTGAGGAATTTGAGTGGGATGTAGTTCATGTGTCGCTTGTTCCTGCTGGTAATAATGGTTGTATGTTGTCTGTGGTTGATGCTGTTGCTCGGGTTGTTTCACAGGGTATCGGTAGTACTGGGACTTTTCGTTCATGGTAGCTGGAGCTCGAGCAGTGTAGTTGTGAATGGCATGACTTTCCCACGAAGCCGGTGGTGGTTGAAAGACAGCGCTCATATCGTTGGTAGGGATAGTCCCAGATCCGTCTCCCCGAATGAGTGTTTTGCTAAATCGAAAAGAAAAGGAAAGAAAAAAAGACAATTCCCGACTGCGCTGCGCAGCGCAACTGTGAAGCCTCACTGTAAAAGCTCCAGAGGATGCAGGCAACAGAGGCAAGCCAGTGGGTAGCAGCTCCTAAGTCTTAGGGTAGAAAAATAAGTGATATAAGAACTGTGGTCTAATGAGCATAAAGTGCCCTTGGCTTTGTCTCTTATGCTTCCAACGGTCAATTTTTCTTATACACTGAGGGCAAGCTGGGCTAGAAAAGAAAGCTATAGCGGGTAAAGGGCAACTCTGATCTGTTGCACAAGTGAAATAGCAATACGATGTACCCCGCTAGAGCAAGCTTGCGTGAATGGGATTTCGGGAGGTTCGTTTGTTTTTGTAGGCGCAACAATTGTTCAATAGGCCTCGACCACCAGTGCCATTATCGATGTGTATTGTATTCGCAGTAGACCGGCTGCAAGCGAAGGTATTCGTAGAGTGCCGTTTCGTCCCCCCTAGTAACGGGCCGGGTGTTCAATGAGGATTGGGCGAGGAGGAGAGGTATTCGCAGCTAGGCGTAAATTCGTCGAGGCTGGAGGAGGTGGTGGTTGAGGATGTATGTATCTTTTAAGAGTGGAGGCTTGAGCAGGAGAGAAAGGTAGGTGGAGGAATAAGGAAAGAAAGAGTCAAAAGAAGCAACAACAGATGGGTTCAGTCACTCAGTCCATGGCTGGTGGTTGTGTGTGCATGTACAAAGTCCTTTACTTTCATTCACTTGGACTTGGTAGTGTCGTTGTTCGTCAAGTGTGGTTCTCTCCTAGACGCAGCATAGCATAGCGTTGCGTAGCGTACCTAGCGTAGGGAGTAAGGGTAAGGGGAGGAGTAGGAGTAGGGGTGTCCGTCGGGTCTAGTCCCACAAATAGCCCTGCTCATAAGTTCTCCAATGTACTAAGGTAGGTACTTGATCTTAAGGCTTGAGCGTCTCCTGCCTACAAGTACTCACCTACTGTGCCCTGGCAGACAGCCTGGATCGGACTTTCAAGGGCTGGGCTGCCTTTAATGGATACATCCATGGTAGACAGTCTCTTTCACTCACGCACTCGCTCTCAGTCTCAGACAAGACATTGCACAAGCACACCCGCCCGGCCGTCCCTGTGGTACTAGCCGAACATGTATCGCGATACCTGCTTTCTCCAAGACAATTCCATACAAAGCTTGGTACCACCGGCATGACAATTCTCAGCCCATCATGTCGCCAGCCTTTGCTAGACCTGCTCTTACTGACTAGACCAGGGCCATCGTGGCGCTCTCCAGCTGACACCTCACCCAGCGACGACCCCGGTTTCCGTGAGGTGAGGTGAGGTGCTTTGCCTTTCTCTGCCCTGTGTTAGTTGCTATTATTATGATTACCGTACACCCCCAACCAGGCCAGGATTTAATTGCTATGGCTCACCCCCTCTCACTTGCCGCTAAAACTCTCAAGTTTCCTCCACTCATCCCCAAGCAAGCTTCAATGGGGGCCAGGCCCGCTAGACAGCGGAGTCTTGGGTGCTGGAACTTACCATTCACCCACTACAACTTAAGCCCCCCAGGTAACTTTATGGAGCATCAAATGCGTTCAAAGTCGCCCCTGGAACGCCCTAGGGGTCGCCCGGTCGCTGCCGTGCTCGACGCCGGGCTGTGAGCGGGCTTGACGGGGCTCATGGGACCGAGGGCGGCGGAACTTGTGAAGGGATCCCTAGACTACGAGCGGGTAGATATTGAATTCATGGTGAGACGGAGATATGAAGGTGGATGGAAAACGAAATGATGGCAGTTAGCTCTGTTCAGGCGCAACATCAACGCAGGCGGCTGATGAGCGATCTGTCCCTGAGACTACATCCGAGTTCGACTTGCACACCCTTATGCACAATTGGATTCCTTCCAAGCCATCCACGAAGCTGGGGTTTGTATGAAAGATCCCTGGAGGTGTCGTTCGGTACAGTGTAAGAGGAGGTTTTCACAAACACAATCATTGTGGAGTACCGATCATTAATGAAACTTGATTGGGCATGTCGGTTCAGGATTGGCACAGAACTTCCCATTCATCGGCTGTGGACGGATACAGTAAGTTACAGTGCTGCGATTATTTGTCTGATTAAAGCATAAAGCCTTGAAGCTGTCAAACTCGAACTGAATTCAACACAGCCTATCTCTATCCGCCGTGTCGCATGCTCGCTTGTTGTCCAATAAGTCGTGGTGGTGGTGTGCTGGAACCTTCAATTACTTACCATGCCCGAATAAGCGGCGTAATTCTACCTTGGATGTAAGTATGCCTCTCATGAGGCATCCATCACCCATGAGTCCGAATCCATGAGGAGCCATGAGCCATAATGCGGCGCTTACTCCACTGTCGTTCCTTGCTAGGAACGTGCAAGCGTAAGTGTAAGTATCGGCCGCGTGTAAGAAATCACCAGGTCGTTTCTTCTGCCCTGTCTACTGTCGATACTGTCTTTGCTTTGCATCCTTGTGTTATGCCGTGCAGCCTATGCTATGCCTGCTCTTGATTCTGGCTGGCTCCGAGCGGCCTGGGCCTTGTTCCTGATAGATTGAGGCGGCAACTGTTGTTTCGCTACCAGACATAACCACCTCTGACTGTGTTTAGGACAGTAATGACGAGAGAAGCACCAGAACCTCTGGTATGAAAATCTACCGGGAAAAACAAGGCCCCAGCTTTAAACAGCAATGAATGGAAGAATGAATAAATATGTGACTGAATCAAGCAAAGCTGTCACGTCCCCCCACACGTACCAACAAGCCGCCCACTCCCCTCAAGAGGATATCAGACAACTTGAGATCTAAATTAGAGGCTCATAAAATAAAGAAGCAAATATGGGGCGTTTGAAAGAGTGAGCTGACTGAATTATATCGTTTCTTGTACTATCAGTAGTCAATATTTCTGCCACCCCAGCTACCCTCCAACCGGAAGCAAGACCCATTCGTTGGGAGGCGCTGTAAATCCGTGCCGCTCGTCGAACTACTAGGTACTAAGGCATGTATGTATTCACGGCTAAACCGACTCTGAGATCAACTTTGTCACCCACCATGCAAGGACCATATTTTCAATATCCTTCCCTTTTTGTATCATTTTTGAGCCCTCATGACAATCTTTTGAGACAAGGCAATGGACATGATGCCATGTTGGCGAATGAACTTGTTAATAGTGTAGTGTAGTGTAGTACTGGATCTACCTACACGCACGTAGCTAATAGAGCTCACTGGGAGCCAGCGTCTCTTCGGCCCACTTATTAGCTCTTCCGGATCCTTGGCTCCATAGCGCCGAGTCGTAATTCCTTTTTCACCGTGCCTGCCCACCAGATCTGGATTCTTTCCAAGTGGAACAAGGGCGCTCAATTCGCCTTATCGACAATTGAAGAAAATAGCACGTACGTAGTCTGAAAGCCACCGTCTGGCCCCATTCGATAACCTGGCACTGAACGGTGGGAATCCCTGCCGCTACGGGCATCTCCCCTCGCCCTGAGGTGCAACGCCATGGTACCAGTACGGAGCCCAGGCCGTCGTCACACTTTCAACAAAGAGGCTAGAAGCGATGATCCAAAACTTAACCGGGGCGACCCAGGGCCTGGCCAGTTGACGACAGCAAATCTGTATCTCGCAACCACGACTTGTGTCAGCCAGCCCAAGACAATACCGGTACGTCCGCGCCAAGTACAGTAGTCGAGCCTCAAGTCGTAGCACCAGTAATTAAACACATGCTCCAAGACGGGTTGGTTGCCATATGACAAAGCCCTTGTCGGCTTGGTGGAAGTAAATGTAATGATGTTTGTTGATTTCGCCGAGACCATAAGTACCCGGACTCTCTGTCTGTGAGGGAGGGAAAAGTCTTTAACACTCGTGATAGGTAAGAGGCTTGCTACCGTTGAAAAGCAAGTTAGTTAGTCAGTCGAGCACGAAACCTGTCACTGCATTCCGTTGGCTGTAACCTTGCTTAGCCAAAAACATCAGGCGTGCCCAACAAGCACCAAAGAGACATTACAGGCTAGAAGAACAAATACGGCTTGTCTATTGTAATTTCGTATGGAGGCCAAGAAAGAAAGACATTCTACGCATACCACGGTAGCCAACCAGCCTGGTTAATCTCTACGTACGGGGGTACTTGCATCTGAGAGTTTTGCCATGAGCGAAAACTGTCGAGCCGTTAGCAGTCTTGCAGCTTTCACCGATCAGAGAATGCCATGTTGATCGATGTAGCACGTAAGCGTCGTCTCGAGGCATTTATTAGCAATGCTATAATGGCGTTCAATAATTACATCGTATCCTTCAACTCAGGCACCGATCTAGCGAATGAGTTTAGATGCAAGCAAGCAGCAAGTGCAGCGCTTTCTCGTACAGAAGGAACTTTCCATGCACTCACCGCCACTGAGAGCCCCAGTATATGATAAGGGAATAGATTGTTTGTCTCGTCTTGTCTCGTCTCTTTTCTTTGGCTTCTACATACATACCTAACTAGTATAGACCCAAACAACATCTCCGGCCACTCGGGCAACTTGCACAATGCATAAAGTCTAACCAGGCTGGCTGGCTGGCCTGTGATCAGAAGTCATTGGCGAGATCGAATGCGTACGCATTTAGGCTTGGTACAGAAAGTTGGTTGTCTCCCGTGCCTGTCTCTTGTGGTCGTCTCGTATGTACAGCCCAAAACCATGCCGCCGCAGCCTGCTTCTCTCGTATGTGCGTGGGCGTAAAACTCGCAAAAAGGATGGGGAAGTGGGTGCATTGATGACCACTTGAGTGCGGGTATTCAATCTCGAAAACGTGAACGAATTTGTACGGTAAAGTCAGCCAGCCAACCACAACAAGTTGCTCTCGGCAAGGAACTCAACATAACCTAACCTAACCTGACTTAACCTTGGAGGTGACTGACCCTTGCTTTCCAATTTTCTCGCTTTGGCTTTGGCGCTCAGCAGGAACTCAAACGCAGGGGTGATTGGTTATTTGTTTAAAGGAGTGAATTGATCCATGTGGATGCAATGTAATGGATACATACATCATGAGACAGAAAAGCACAGGCAGGGTTAAAGACACTTGCTGCCTCTGTCACATTTGCAGCTGAAAGCGCAGTGCCACAGGAAAGGAAAGAGAAAAGAGAGAATGTCGCAAGTTCCTTCCTTCATGTACGGCAATAATAACCCCAGTCCGATTGCCTTTATTGCACCCTGCCTACCTAGGTAGGCAGGTAAGCTCCGAGGCGCAATACAAAATCCTGGGAGTCTAACGAAAATAGAATCGTGTAGTGTACAATTACTGACGATTAATGCCCAAGTAATTATGGTTTCCACAACTTATATTGTAGTGTATATAAAAAGTGAATCCGGTATTGAGGTCCCCCTCCCCCCATTCGATCAGTTTCGTGATTCATCAATCACATATATCCAAAGTTTGGGTCTTTTCCTTGAACTACGGGGCCAAAGGGAAGAAAGGTGAACATGGGACCGCTGAGCCAAGCAACTAGAGAAGGTAGCAAGGGGACCAGTGGTCAGAATTGGTCGATCCTACCCCTCGAGTTCTGTAACAACATTTGATGCATCACTCACTGTCCGCATGTACGGATGGATACCTTTGGCAGTTCGATTTGCTGGTAGTCGGTGTAAGAATAACGTTGATAGTTGCTAAATTATGGCCTGCGTCAGCCCTTCAGAGATCGACATACAATACATTTATGTGTGACCGATCGATGGAAAGCGGACGGTGCTGCTACCTTCCCTGGAAAAGCCTGAAATCCCCTGGCTGCGCAGGTATAGAAACTGGAAGGAACGGAACTCACTCATCTCATCTGGATTGAGATCGTTGTCATTGGTCAAAACATTTGTAATTGCAGTTCTCAACACGGACATGGCAGGAAACATCAAATCCAAGACACTGGCACTTTCCCACTTGTGTCGTTGGTTCCCTTCTAACCACCCCTGGGCCCAGCAACAGTTGCAGTCTACTCCGTAGTCCGTACTAAACCTGGACATTCCATCTTGTATTGAACCCCCAGTCTGTTTGCCCATCACTCATTTTTTCTCTTCTT